GTTAAAATTTCACAAGGGTTAGAGAGGGTGAGAGAATACCTTAACACATCAAATAGCTAAACATTTTGAAGGTCTAAATAGGCATTTCTCAGAAATAATGATCACCTTCTTTTAGTCCTAGTCCTTGAATATGTAAAGAATCATACTCATGCCTAATGTTGGTGGGACAGCTTTGCACTCAGGTTTGAAATAGGAAGACCTCTTTCCACCATGTTAGTCTGTCTATGTGCATGATTGTAGGATGCATTGTTTGGGTAATCTCTGCTCTGTTTCCTGCAAGTCCTGCAGCTCAGTAGTGATGGCAAATGCCAGAAATGTCACAGATTATGATCTGTGTAGAGCTATCTATATGTATCTGCTGTGATAGCAAGAGGAGCTGAAAATGCTGCTGGTGTGCTGTGGCTGTGCAAACTTCAGGGCTGCTGCCTTACCATGAGTGCATTTCAAAGAAGAAAATCTTTCTCATAGGATGGCTCTAATCAAATGATAGAAAAACAACTCAGATTATGGCAAGGTTTCTTTCTCCTATGCTCCCTGTGTCCGTCCAGTAGTAATGAGAAGGTCCTTGTCCTGCACAGCCCTTCCAGGCTGGCATGCAGATAAGGTGCAGTCGGAATGATTTTCCCCTTTTGGGTTAGGCAATGAAATGTAGTCTCCGTTGCTAGAGAGACTAGTAGTTTCGTCATGCATCCTTGCAGGCATTATTATTGTAGCTAGTAAAAATCCAGATAATTTTCTTCCCAATTCTGAAATGAAAATGTGATGTTCAGGAAGCTTTTTTTCCTGTTGCCCCAGCTGATTTTATAGATATCTTAAATACTCCTCTCTGACTATGTGTAAAATGACCCCTTGGTATCTCTATTTCTCAGTGTGTTTTGGACATGATCCAGGGGAAAGTACTTGTGGTCCAGCATTCCCAGATGGTGGTGGATCTGACGTTCACCCTGCCAGGAACACTGGGAAGACACAAGCAAAGCCGCTGTCTGGGGAGCTGCTTAGGGAGCACCTGCAGTTTAATTAATCCTGAGATGCTGCCACTACTGCAACACTTCAGTTCTTTGCTTTATGGTAACAGAGCCATTGGGCAAAAAAAGGTCACTTCACGTGTCCCGAGATATTTATCTGATTTACACAACAGTCAAAAGGATTCATGGGGATTTTTGTGATCTCTTCAAAAAAAGGAGAAATTGGGTATGCANTGGGTGGGGGAGGATGTGAGAAATGAGGAGTCTGGGTCTGTGTGTGACCTCCCCGCTCTTCGGGGGTCAAACACCCGCAGCACCCCAACGGCGACGGATCGAGCGTTTCCGAAGATCTCAGCGCCGCCGTCTTCTCCCAAAATCCCACCAGGCGGACTGAAATTGTTTCATAGGTGCAGCTTAAGATAAATAGATGGGTAAAACAGATTTATAGAAAGGCATTCTAAGTCAAAAGGGGAAGGAGTAAGAGGCACAGTTAGAAATAAATCAACAAGGCTGAAGGACTCAAGGACTTGAATACGAGGATTTCTTTATGCCAGTGCAGCAGAAATGAGCTGGACATTGTACCCTGAGCAAAGGGAGAGGGTTTCGTAGATTATCTGGTGTCTTGGTAACTGAGGTTATTTGAAATAGAAAACCTAAAGATGTAAGTGAAGAGGATCACTCTCCTAAGAAAGTTTTGTCTCCAAGATGAGGAAATGCAGAAGATAAATAATGTCAGCTAGAAGTAGTTACCTCAACCAGGGAAAAAGAAACAGGGCAATGCAGTAATGTGGTGAGAAGGGCATACAGATTGAAGGAAGTCTGGCAATATTTAGAAAGCGAAGAAGCATTTTGCTTCTAGTTTTAATAAAGATGATTGCATGAAAGATGGATGCAGAAGGAAGGTGAGTAATGGGAAGAAAGTCATGGGTAATTATTACAAGTGGAGGAAAACAAAGGATCTCATCCAGTGTGCAAACAGGCCAAGTGTGTGGAGATGAAGGTGAAGGGACCACAAACTTTCACTCTAGCACTCAAGTCATTCTGGAATACTTGCACTGAAGAAGAGGAGGGAAATAATTTACAATAATCTAGACAAATTTTGAAGGAGAGAATAATTAAAGATATGAGAGTAAATGGGATGAAAATAAAGTGTTCAATTACATGAGATGTTGCTTCAGCAGGATATCTTTCTCTGTTTCCCCTTCTCTTCAAGAAATGAAATGGGGTAGATGTAGTCTATTTGGGATTAATAATAGCTGATACTGTCCAGACAGGAAACAACTGTTGAAGTAGAAGAGCATATGGATCAGGAGACAATGACAGAGGGGTGTATTATATGGGAAGTGTCAGACTGAAGGAAAGTGCTCTGTGTGATTCATCAATGCTCCTGTCATCCTTCATGTTTTCATCACAATGGTGTCATCAAGAACACAAGCAGGCTAATGAAATCTGCTGTTGACAGAGCTGGGAGTAGTTAGTGTATTGGACAAACTGCATGTCTCTTAGAACAGGTTTAATGAAAATATAATTAAATTCAATACCATTAATGACATGCAAAGATTAATAAAAAAATTTCTTCTACTGGCTATAAGATCAGCATTTGGATAAGAGAGACTAGTTAATCTTGAGATGAGCAGGAGCTGTTTAAAAAGGGAAGTGTAAACCCAGCAATGTCAGATATGTAATTTCAGAAAAGATCTGCAGTACAGTGTGTGAATCTGTCAGCCAGTCAAGAGTAAATCAGTGTTTGTCAAGGTTTTACCCCAGTCAGCCACTGAGCACCACACAGCTGCTTGCTTACTCCCCACTGCCTGCCTCTCTTGGAAGGAGAATCAGAGAGAAAGTAAAGCTCATGGATCAGGTAAGAACAGTTCAATAGCTGAGACAAAATAAAATATACAAAAGTGGGGCTTAGGAAATGGACAAGACAGGGAAGTTAAAACTGAGGGCCAATGTCAGCATAAGAATAATTGGGTATAAACTGATTCAGAGTAGCAAAACACCAGAACAGATCTCTAACTAAAGTGGAAGGAGCAAAATCAAGCCTAATTTCCATAAAATTGAGTTGGTGGATTTTATAGAAGAAAATATGTGGTGTGATTGGCTTCAGTGGCAATGAGATTCAATGGTCTCTTCTAAAAGCCTATAGAGAGTATTCTAACATCATTCCATAAATAAATATGCTAACATATAGCAATGCATACAGACGTGGTATCTCCAACACATGAAGAGGTGCAGTAAAAACCACAAAAAAGAGAAATGGGAAAGGATAATGAAAATGAGACAATGCCTCAGTAAACTGGTTTTATAAAGGAGATGATTAATTAGGGGCTGGATGAAAGTGCTAAAATAACTGGAGAATAGAATCTTCTTCCTCTGTCTCAAAATACCAAAAGCAAAACAATCAGCCAGATTGAAAGGTGGAATTTCTGGAAAAACTGAGATACAAAAGATATTCTTTTAAAATGCATATTTGAGTCACTGAGTCAATTTCTGTAGGAAGGCAGTGGAATAAAAACTAAAATTACATCTGTAATAAAAAGGATGCATTTATAAATAAGGAGGCGATGTATTTTTCAGTACTTTATGGTACCTTAGAATTCATTAGCTGCAGTAAATAATCTTCTCAAATTTTGCACAAATTTCTTAAGTATCGTGGACTAGAAAGTATTCTAATGTGGTGTGGACAGGCTTTCTCATCCACCAGCCTTTTTAATAAAAAATTTCTTATATTGTCCTTTCAGGCAGAAATTACTACTGTCAGAGATGAGCCCTTAGCTCAGATGGTCGTGGGGCAGAGCTGGTGGGAATACAGTTCCACAGTTCAGGGACACATTCCTATGGCTTATTTTATGGTACTGGACAGAGGGTATGTTTGTATGTGGTTTTACACTTTCTATAAAGACACTTCCATCAACAGCCAGGGAATAAACCTCCCATTGTTACCTAGTGCTTTGGTAATTCTGACTCAGTTCCTCAGAGAAACAAGTGCTGTGGACACAATGTGCAGAAACATGGTCAAGGGCTGCTCAGTCCAGTTGAGCATTTACTTCTCAAAGCACTGTGAGATCTTTCTGTGGCTTTATAAGAGTAAAGACAAGAAAGCTCCCTTTCCATGGCACAACACGTGTTCCACGCTCCCAGCTTTTAAAGCCAAGAGAACCTTCACCTGTGAACAGCCTAAGACTGGAGTTTATCCCTCCTCCGACACAGCCCTGCACCACCTTCCAAGAGCAAAACAAAAGAGGGAGGGAGCAGAGATATTAAAAGAAACTACATAAGCAGGAAAACAGCTTCTCTCTGTACTGGGAGAGAGCTCCTGGCCAGCAAAAGCCAAGCTTACAGAGCAAGATATGATCTTCATTCCAAGGCAGAGAAAGGCGGGAGAGAGGGAACGACATGCTCCATGCACTCTCACCTACTCACAGGCCCTGTGTGGTTTCTATAGCAGCACAATAGCAGACATTTTTCTCTCTCCACAAGAAAGCCTGAGTAATGTTCTGCAATTATATTAGTCTGCATTTTAATCAGATTTTATCTTCTTTTAAGCTTGCATTTTTTTTTCCATTTCCTCTTTATGTAATGGTACCAAACTCTAATCCAAGAAGTGAAAACCTCAAAGGTTTTGTTTTTCATTCAGGGCTGCCCATCTGCTGTCAGTATTTTTTTGTGCTGGTTTGTGCCTCCACAGTACAAGCAGTTGTTCTGCATGCAGAGTGCTGGTTTGATCTGAAAAGTAGGGGGGGAAAGCCCCAGTGGCAAAATGTCTTGAATTAATACAATCTCTAATACTTTATTCAAAAA